ATGAGCTGGGCTTGTTTAGTGTAATAAAACCACTATGAACAAAAGCTAGTGATTCATATTAGGCTAGCAAGAACGTGTTTTCCCGAGCAAACCCATGTCTAGCTCCGTTGGTTAGCTCGGTAGCATACACGCTACGCCAGCTATAATGTAATTACGTTTCGCGACTGACCGTACGGCAAATCACCCAGAGTATACTGTCTATGAGTATTTCGTGTGTGAATGCAGACATTCTCCTGCTATGAGATACATGTACTGTATGCAAGGCCATCTGCTGATATTAGAGTTGATATATGGAAACGCTAGCAACTTAGTTAGCACAGTTAGCACTGTGTCAATGGCTTAGCAGTCTGACACAGTTTATACATTTAAACAGTCTTGTTTGATAAATACACAAATAACAATGCAAACTTACAGGTTGTGTACCCGAATCTTCCCCTGCTCCAAACGGTCCAAACAAACTAGGAATAGCATCGTCCTTCAGTTTCAAATGCTGTGCATATCCGGCCTCAAACTGGGCAATGTTTTGGAAGCTTTCGTCTGTGAAATGCCGGTTCTTCGATCCTCTGAAGGAACAGTGTTAAAAAGAAATTTCAACCACTGACTTCGTCGTGGTTCTTCCGTCGGTAGGACAAACAGCTCAGATTTCTCCTCACATTTCAGGAAACAGGTCCTTGGCAGTGGCATGACTGGATCGATTGTGAACTGAACCAGAGCTTCCAACAGTAAATGTTAGGCTGGCAGAGGGTGCGGCCAGCGCCGCTGGGTGTGGCCATAGCTCTTCGGGATTGGTCCATTTCGTTCCGGGTACCGCATGACATCATGCCGTACCCGGAACTAAATGGAAGACTCAAATGGGCAGTGACGTATCTCCAACGAGGCGTTTTGGGGAGGTATTTTCTGTGTTAGAGTTTTACTCGCTACAGGGTGTACTTTGAGGGTTTTGACTCTGCACACCGTTTACATGCATAAAAACCTTCATAACACACAAGGGGACGGGTAATAACCGGAAAAGCATGACATGGGAGCTTTAACAAAGGAGCCTGTATGCAAACACAGCTATACTGAGACAACAGTCAACATAATACTATCCTAATCTAACACATCTAACCACATCAATACTACCACACGAGTTAACCACTGTTAACAGAATTTCACAATCAATCTAAGAGCACGTAGCGAGAGGCGTCTGTTCACATAACAGAGCCTCCTGACTGATCGTTGTCCCCAGGCTTTGTAGTCGTCTCCGGAAGGTGTGCGCCGGATGTGCGCCGGGATTGGAGTGCGTCGGGCCCGGGGGCGGACCAGGAGATGAGTAGCCAATGACGTCAGGGCAACCGCACAGCTCATTTACATATAACACAACAACAGAGTTAGCAGAACCGGGAAGGCAGCAGCCGTAACAAAGTATTTAAAAAGACGCCTTTATCATATTCTGAGATATCAAATAATGATTTCACAATAATAATATTACGGGGGCCGAGAGGTGCAGACGCGCCTTTATAATCCTTGAACATCAACAACGCTCCGGTCCCAGCTGTGTGTGTGACTTTTTAGTGTCAATGTCTCATCAGGATGGTGAAGATGTTTCTTATTTTGCATGAGTTTTGACACATTTGTGTTTTTATATTTGCATTGCTTCTGAAGCCGAGGTGTCTTTCTTCGAATGCACATTTTTGGGCCAATGTAGCACGTTTGCACCTGTTGGCCACCATATCATATCAATAAATACACACTTGAAGAATATAAACACATTAGGCGCTTTCACACCGGAGTACTCTTCCCCTTACTTTTCCCTTTTACGTGTAGTTCCGATAGTTCCTGGGATTTTGCGTTCACACCAAAAAGAGAACTTAGTTCATGAGAACTTTTCCCCCCTTTTCAGTCCCTGCTAGAGAGCAGGCACTTTCCTGGGGAGAAAAAAGTTCCAACTTCTGATTGGCTGGGCGATTTGCAAACCATGGCCCGTAAAAAATGTTGTTTGTGAAGCCGCCATTGTATTTGCTGGCATTAGCATTATTAGCATTAGCATTAGCCCAGCGCACCAACGGAGAGAGACTAACTTATGGCAACACAAAAAAAAACATTGGAGCGGTGGAGTGATGAGTAGGTGTCGGCGTTCTGGCGATTTACTCGGAAGCCAGTCCCCAACTCCGGGGACTTCCGGCCGGGGACTTCGGGTGGCAGTATACGCCGTGAAGCTGTTTGCGGCCTGCCAGTAAACCCAAAGCAGAAGAAGAAGAAGTGACGTCAGCGGCTTCATTTGCGTAATCTTCCCTCAGGGACTTATTCCGGTGTGAACGCGATCTGTACTTTAGTTCCATGGGGGAACTAAGTGCTGGGAACTAAGTACGGCAAAGTACTTGGTGTGAAAGGGGCTAATGTGCCAGTAGAAATGGTTCTTGTGCCTACTCAGTATTTTAGAAAATGCATGTTGTTAATTATGTGCAGAGGTTTGTTAAATGGGTATCAGGCTGCTGCTCTAGCTGTGATCATTCATTGCCTTGATTATAATGAGACCAATGTGTACGTGTCCCGATGCAGACTCTATCAGAAGTCTCCTCGCCTGCAGAGGAGAGCAAGTCTCGTTTCTCTAAAAACAGATCAATAAATAACAAATGACCATGTGGTCACTGCCTCCATATTAACTTCCAGCTGCAATGCCATTGTTGCTCAATCATCAGCGACCCTGACAGCGGTAACCAGGGCAACAGCAGTAAGTAGTGCATCAGGCAACAATGCGGGTCCCGCTCACTGCCGCTCCTCTACCTCACAGCAGAATGTTACCCTCATATTTAGCCTCATTATAAATGGTAGCCCTGTTATATGATCACCTATTGGAATATTGATGAAAGTGAAACAGTATCACATATTCAGATCTCATCGTGATAGACATATTAACACTTTTCGTCCAAGTGACCACTTTTCCTAACTTTCTTACTCCTTACTTGTAAACTTGGGAGTAAAACATAATTAGTTTGTTTTTACGTTATCCCAACACAACACCGCAGGCAGCTAGCTAACCAATCAGAGCAGAATGGGCTCTGGTTTCAGACAGAGGGTGAAAAGAGTCACGGTAGAGGCACATAATACAAATATGAACCTGTACATTAGCAAAATATGTGCTCTTAAAGCAATTTTTGTGCAGAAATGTCTCTTATAAATCCCACTTAAAATTTAATATGGATACAAAATATGTTTTTTTAAGTGTTACGACCACAAAATGATAAAGCCTACACTTGATTGGCAATGAAAGAGCCACATTATCGTAGGTCCTTTTTATCTGAACAATGGTCCATACAGGTGCCCAGAGACAAATGTGTATTCTGTGATATTGGGCTATAAAATGACACTTCACTGATTGAGTACGGAGATTTGTTTTACTGAATGCTTTATCATCGTGTTTATCATGATCACTGACAGTCTGATCACACTTCCTGTTAACATCTTACAACATATCAAGTTTTAGGGGATCGGAGAGACAACTTGATTACTGCGCCTTCTCTTGGCTCTGTTTTTAGGCTTCAGATAATCCAGACTTCGGCCAGTCAGAGGTCATTTCAAAGAGTTCCTATGGGCGGTTTGACATTTTCAGATTTGTGTCCCTGTCCCTTCCGATGGTGAATGTCTGACTTGACAGCAGAATATCCTGCAGGAACAGTTGAGATTATTTGCCAGTTGCCCTGCATGCTTTTTGTGGTTGTAATTACAACAGTTGGCCCTATTCTATTCCCCCCAAAGCACTGGACAAACTAAACGTCTGACTTGATCACGCCACAGAGGAAAACATAACTGACAGTCCTACAGTGCTCTAAACCAGACGTAATTGAATCCACCCAATCGTTGGTGAGGCGTTTCACTGCCGACCAATGGCCTCACCGACGCCAAATGAATTACGGATCATCTGGGGAGTATGAACGTTTGAAAATGTTTTGTCAATCCACCCAATTTGTGTCTGCGACATTTATATAGTAAAAATGAGCGAACATTTATAGACCTCAACTTCCATTGTTCATTGGTTACGACAAATGGGGGTTTCCCTTTCCTGTGGTGCGGTCTATAGGTTTTGATGCATGTAAATGTTCTGTAAAGGCTAAAATAACAGTAGTGCAAGTGCAGTTTTCAAGCTTATGTATTTGTGTTGTTTCTTTCTAAGATTGACATTTGTCGTACAGATGAAGCAATACAATTCCAAGAAAAATACTGTGTGAAAAATAAATAACAGAAGTGGTCACTGCTGCAATTCACGAACAAAGTCATGACTAAATAGAAGCTATAAAAATATGTAATGCAATTGTTGTTGCTGATATTATTGTCTTGTCATGTGCATGATGCTGCGATTTAATATTTATATATTATAATATCTGCTATTTCCATATGTAAAACACGTGTACAGCACCTGAGCATTCTCTTATAGCGTTATACTACCTGTGGATATTCATATTTCAGAAGCTGACTCCACACATGATGACTGTATGAATATTTCATAAAGCTCTGCATGAGCTGCTGAAAACAGTCAGTGAAAAGTCATCTGAAGCCAGGTTGATTTCTGTGTGCTGCAGAGTAAATAAAGTCCTCCAGCTCAGTGCTGAGTGACAGACTTACAGATAAGATGAATTATTAATAACTGAAGAGGCTGCAGGCATTCTGACCACAGTTCAGTCCTCATATTAAACCATCGATCCCTCAGAACAATCCACATTCAACGGGAATCCACCAAAATGCCACTTCAGATATAATTACCAGAAATCAAACACTGTCGCTAATGTAACCATTACAAATCATTATTTTTAAGGGGAAAAAAGACGCTTCAAACATAATCTATATTCAACAGGAATCCGCAGACATGTGAGTTTTTATTAGTTAATAACTAATTAAAAAAAAGCGCTTCGATTTACATTTGTCCGCAAAGGTTACACATATAATCTGTACTGTGAGAATCTCAAATTCAGAAAGTCTAGTTGAGCATATTATTTACATGAAAAAACACACTTATTTCTTACCTAATCTCTCCGATCTGAAGGTCCGCATCAGACTGAAGACATCTCTCTCCTCTCGCTCTCGCTCTCTCGCTCTCGCTCTCTCGCGCGCTCTTCCTGCTGACTGAATGCAAGATGAGATCACAAGCATATGTATTTTCTTTAAATATGTGTTTTATAGCCTGTAAAACTGGTGTGGTATATCTATTTCTTACACGAATTGGAGGGTATACTTAACGGTTTTACGTAATAAGTAGGAAGCAACTCAAATCAGATTGTGTATTTGCTTTTGTAGTGAAATGTCATTGTTGGTCATTGTAACATTGTTCTGTTGTCTTACAGAACACACTTAAAGGTGGGGTAGGTAATTTTGGAGAAACCAGCTCGAGTGCGCTAGAATTTGAAAATACACAGCCGGAAAAAATCTGCCCCTTCCTTCAGACTTCCTTACAGAGCCCCTCCTCCAACACACACGAACGCGCACATGCCCAATGAGGGCACGAGATAAGTTTGTGCACAGATGGAAGGCTGACAGGCAGGTAGGCCATCCAGTTATTTTAGCCGGGCCGGCTAAAATGATTGGTCGTGCTTTTTACAGTACTACGGCTTCCACAGATGACATTTTTTTATGTATTTATTGTCAAAGCACTTAAGATATTCATTACTATCGGGATGTTAAGAGCATTCCATGCAATATAACAAAAATTGTTTCTGAAATAAATGACATACCCCACCTTTAACATCCCGATAGCAATGAATATATTAAATGCTTTGACAATAAATACATTAAAAAAATTCATCTGTGGTTTCTCCATTCTTACCTACCCTACCTTTAAAGTGGACCTATCATGGTATATTTAAATGATATATTGTAGGGCCATACCTATATAAGGTATATTTATACGTTTCTGTTTTCAAAATACCAAACAGATCATGCATTTTAGCCATGCCTCATTTCGCTCAATTTGCACTTTTTTTTAGCTCTGCTCTGCAAGGGCAGATTCAGTGAGAACAGCACCATCTACTGGCCTGGCATATGTACTACAGCGTCTCCAGCGCTTTCGAACGGCAATGGCCGTGGCTGTCTCCTCCTGATTGGTGGAGTTGGCCCAATAGCCATAGCGCCACTGTCCTGACGTCAGGACAGTGTTCAAATCTGGATCAGTTTTTATCAGATCTGTTGCAGCCCCTTTTTTAGAGATTTGGGTATGGAGGAAAATAGAGAGGGTTGTGTTTTCTGATACTTGGTGAGTTCCCTGGAACACCGGGGACACATATTCATGTTTAAAAGACGTACACAAGTGCATTTTGCATGATAGGTCCCCTTTAAGTAAAAAACTTCCTATAGTACTTGATATTGAGGTAATCCAAAAGTAATCAGGTTACATTACTTTTGTATAGTGATACTTAGTTTACTGATTAGATTGTATTCACATATAGTTATTGTAACGGAATACATTTTTAAAGTTCAAACCCTGCACATGAATAGTTTCACTACATGAATTACACCCAAGTATTTGTATGAAACTCCCTGCTTGATTTCATCTGTATGGATGACAATGGGGACTTTATGGGAGTCAGATGGTGAGCCAAAAATGATTTCCTCAGTTTTCTTGGTGTTGATCTCAAGAGCATTACCATCAGTCCGCTCGACCACCTGATTTACAGCCTGTTGGTGCAGCTCAGGGTCGTCTGTGTTACTGAGCAGAGATATTATTGCAGTATCATCGGAGTACTTAATGATGACTTGATTTGGTGTGTTGGTACGACAATCATCAGTGTAGAGAGTAAAGAGCACAGCTGAACTCACGCAGCCCTGGGGGGCACCTACATTGGTTGTGATGGCAGATGACAGGGTTTTGTTAACCTTCACAAGTTGCTCTCTACTAGTGAGGAAAGCGGCATACCAGTAAATCAGGTATGGATTTACTTCCATTTTTGACACCAAGATGTCTGCTTGTATTGTGTTGAATGCTGATGAGAAGTCTAGGAAGAGGGCTCTTGCATAGGTGTTACCTTTATCTAAATGTTTAGTGATGATGTGAACCAAAGTAGCCACAGTGTCTTCCGTACCGCACCCTTGTTTATAGGCAAATTGGTATGGATCAAGTTTGTCTTGTGTTGTACTGATAAGAAATCAGAGCAGAATTCTTTCTAGTGATTTCATAATCACTGATGTGAGGGCTATTGGTCTGTAGTCCTTATGTTCTTGGGAGGTGTGTAGTACAGTGGGTTGTGCGTAGGTGTTCGGATCAGGGGCTCACAGGTTCAAACCCCACTGCAGTCAGCATGTCGTTGTGTCCCTGAGACACTTCACCCCAAATTGCTCCTGTGGGGATTGTCCACAGTATTGAGTATGTAAGTCGCTTTGGATAACAGCGTCTAACAAGTAACGTGTAATGTAATGTTCTTATGTTTGTCCGTTATGAGCTACTGTAGAAACATGGCGGCACAATAACTCAAATGAAGAGGATCATGTAGACAGTAATTGCTCCCTCGTAGCTATTGAGAACACAATTCTTAGTTTCAGGTGATTATTAATGTTGCTTTCAATTTCCGCTAACAGAGTTTTGTTCATAAAGTTGCCAGCTGTGAATTTCAAATGCACTCAGGTATAGGAGCCTCAGTTCATTTTCATAAATCTTTATTACCAAAAAGCTTTTGGGTGTAATTACAGCAGTCTCTACTAAATGACAATAGTAGCTTTCAACAGTATCCCATCACAGCAGAGCAGTCATAAAGTGAAGTAGAGGTTATTCCAGTTACAGCAGGAAATGTCAGTGACGTCAGCGCTGCTTTCCCTTCTGCTTTACTTCTCTCTAACGTCTTCATGACTATCTGGTTCTCAGTATTCCTCTGCGGGGACTGTGTGACTAACCCACATTGGAAGGGATCAGTCAGTGAGCAGGAAGCAGCCGCTGATCCTCTCAAAGGGTATCAATAAGAACCACAGAATGAGAAGGGAATCATGGGACACTAACTAAAGTGGACACACAGGTAGTAAACAAAGCAGGCACACAGACAAACAGTCAGGACACACACATACACACAGGTCCAGAAAACTGAGACACGTGTGTGTGTGTGTGTGTGTGTGTGATGGCGTAGTTTAAATTAAAAAACAATTGTTCTTGGAATTTTCTATTTCTAATAACGAAATGTCAATGTTGTTTTCTTTTGACATCAGCAAATTGACACACACACACACACACACACACAGAACTAATAATGAAATGAGTGCTGACAAAAATGCAACACACACAAACACATACACACGAAGCAGGTACATAGACAGCATCAACCTACAGTGCATCATATCATTTCACTTCATCTGCTAAAATGATCTAATACAATAACAACAAAAAACACTTCACAGGTATTGATCTGGATTTTTGGTATTAACAAACATGTTTTTCTTTAAGGCGAAGTCTTAGTCCAGAAGTCTTCTAAACCTTTCCCGTGTTTATAAAATCTAACGTCATGTACAAATGTTACAGGTTTAATAATTTAGTTTGTTGCATATTGACATGTGCTTTATGCTGGGAAGGTGAGAGGAACGGTTAGTGATGGATTCCAGTCAAATCTTCATTCTCCAGTGTTGCATCTTCCTCCTCCTCCTCCTCATCATCGTTCTAGTGCTTTTTAGGAATGTCTTTGCCTCCGTCATTAACAATGCAGGAGGGATGGGTTAGTAATTACAGACAGCAGTACAGTCAGGGGTCAAATCAGTAGAATTAGCATAACAATCATTCATTACATTAACACCGACTGTCTCTAAGGCGCACTTTCCTTAATGTCTTCCGCCTCCTCATCTTTTCTTTCTTCAATGGGCTCAAAAAATGGAGCAAGTATTTATAAATCCTCCCAAGAGTCGTGATGAAAACACTAAAAGCTAAATGTGTCTGCATTTGAATCGGACTCATTGTGCATCATCCCCAGTCTTACACCATTGTGTGTGATTGAAACATAGTTCAGTTAAATGTGTGTGAAAGATGAACATCTTGTAATCATCTTGCTGCTTTTAATAAGGGGACAAGAGGCGTTTAATATATCTCTGTCTTGATGTGATTACATTCAAATCAGTGATGTCAAAGTGAGTATGTCCAACATAGTGACACGGTGTTGTGAATAGAGTCAAGAAGCTTCAGAGGACATAATAGAGCAGTGCAGGAATCACAAATCCTCAAACTTAGAAATGAGCGTTTCTTGAATGTGTTTTTGGTTCGATGCCTGAAATGAAGGTCAGTAAATACCCCACTGTTGAATGTCTGAAGCTTTAGTAGCTAAATGAGACTACTAAATGGCATCAGGCCGAACATTAGCCGCCTTTAGCTTAGCGGTTACTATGTGCAGCCATGCCATGTTGACTTGTTTATACCCTCATTTGAGCTTTTGACTCTTTACTGTTGGCCTACGGTGGCCGAGAGGTGCCAACGGCATAAACATTTCAATTAGGAGAAACGTACTGCACTTTCAACAATGATGCCAATGTAAAAAATGATCTAGTTATAAAGTTGGTCAACTGTCACAGCTGCTGTAAAGTGACCTAAAACATACTTTTGATCGGCTAATCTGTGATCGCATGATTGCTTATGATATAAGGGCCAACTTCATAATCCCCGAACATCAACGAGCGCTCGGGTCCAAACTGTGTTTTAGTGTTCACGTTTTGGTGCGTTTGGAGCTTTTGCAGCGTTGCATTCATGCAGTGCTTTTAGTAAACACTACGTATCTGTAGTTGAAGTTGGTGAAGATGTTTCTTTATTTGCGTGTGCTTTGGCACATTTGTGTTTTTACATTTGCATCCTTTGTTAGAAATTGCAGCGCATTTCTCCTAATGGAAGTTTGTTATGCTATTGCGCATTTGCACTTGTCGGCCACCGTAAGGATCCCTTGCGATGACAATTTCTGGCCTTTCAAAAATGTTTATCCTTGCACCACTCAATAGAACATATGCTCGTATGAAGTGATATATGTATGGCGCACCAAAGTGACCAGAGACACTTGAGCTGAGGACAAAATCATCCGTTCACTGACTGGAGAATCGAGCAAACACTTGGTGCTTTCAGTTATTATACAACCCCCAACTGTTGCCAGAGCTAATTCATTCAATGCAAACTCTCCTCTCCACAGAGGGTCTGCACTCTCTGGGTCTCTCCCTCTCTGTTGTGCCGTACTTAAAACTGTCCGGCTCACTTAGCATGCAGCGGTACACTCTCCCAAAAACACAGTGGTTCACCCTGTGGTGTGTGTGTGTGTGAATTAAGTCCAGCTCAATGGTTAGCGAGGCCACAACCAAGCCCCTCAAGGACAATTCCCCCGTCTGTATATATCATTATATATATTTATATACACATGTGTGTGTGTTGGTGTGTGTGTTTGTGAAACTAGTGTTGGCTCGGGCAGAACAACATTTCCAGTAAAGTGTTAGCGTGTTGCATGCTGGGACAGAGTCTAAAGATGGAGGGAGAAAGACTGTAATTTAACTGGGAGCAGCCCTGCCCGTCGTTTTTGTCTTTCCTTCCTCAAGTCACTGCTTCCACTTTTATATCTGTCCATCCCAGCATCCATCAATGTGTTCTCAATAAAGCTCCCCTCAACCCCTTCCTCCATCACTTGCTTCTACTCTCTTTGCTTTACCCCCCCCCCCCCCTTTCCTTCCCCTCTCCGGCTCCTGTATTCCAGTGTTTGTTTTAGATAATAGAGGCAAACAGAAAAAGGAGGAGAGATCCGATACATTCAGTTGCTTCTGTTTGCATTCACTTCAGTTCAACCAGTCTTTTTAATGATGGTTTGTTCCTGGTTGATTCCAGGTAAACCCCAGCAGGGGTTGACCCCAGTCAAAGAGTTCCAGCTCATAGACTGAGCCCAGACTTGGTATTCTTGTCCTCTGTACCTGCAGGCTTTAAGTGTTATGGATTCTCAGCTCCAATCTCCATTTCTGTATGTGTTCAAGTCTTTAAAAAACAATGTGATCATTTGGTCAAAACATTCAGTATTAAAAAACAGCCAGTTAATGCAACACCTTTGAAAAACCCATGGTGTGGACTGGAGGCTGCTTGTGATTACAGTGAACACAGTGAAAATGAAACGGCATAGCAATGTACTCCAGCATCCTCAGAGACCATCTATAGTGTTGGTGTGTTCATATCAAATCCTTCCATATTGCATCCACCTCAGACAGATTCAGCTTTTGATTCAATAAATAAATGGTTTCCTTCAAAATGTGTCTTTGTTTTCCAGGTTTTAAAAGTTGCATCTTCCTATTCGATGGAGTTCAACTTTGTCGAACTTTCAGCAGGAATGTCGCATGATCAAGCAATGCATGTGTGACAGCTCTTGGACTTATTTCCAGTTGAATTGGAGCAAAGAGTAGACTTCCAAGAGTTGAAGCATTTATCTACATTTCAGAGACTGATAACTTGTGTCTGAGGGTTTGTAAAGCTCCAATGATCAGCCCCAGCAGTCTGTATCCAGTTCCAGGTTGAGCCACACTGGTTCTTTAGGGTCGGCGTTCAGACACAGCCATACTCATACCACACAGTCTGAGGGTCGTTGTTGGGATCGGGGGACGAGGGCGTGCTTTTGGGCCGTTCCACAGATCCACACCCTGCCTTCTCACTCTCCTTCTCTACGTGGGAGGAGTCACCTGACATTAGCCCCTCCCCTTTTACTGAGGGTTCTTCAGGCCGCGTGGCCGACACAGCCCTGACAGGGGTGACCATGGCAACCTCAGCCACCTTGTGGTAGGTGGAGGACGGGGTGGGGCCGTTCCGAGAGACAGGAGTCCTCCCCCTCTCTCTTTCTCTCTCTGCGTGTCTCTCTGTCTGCAGATTGAGAGAGGTGGAATGGTGAATGGGCAGATTCAGGAAGCTGCTGTCTGCAGGCTGATTGGTTGGGCCAGCCAGCCGAGCAGACAGAGGGCGTTCCCTCCCGTTAGCCCCTGCCCCTGGTCTGCGGACAACCCCATCTGATTGGCCGTCATTTCCATGGAAACTGTCTGGTCCGTTTGAGCGCAGCAAATCAGCCGAGGCCAGGCTGAACGCCCTGCTCAGTGATTGGCCGGACCTCTGGATGACGGTCTGGCCCGAGGCTGGTGATTGGCCCACAGGCTGGCGGGGCAACGGCTTGACGCTCTGTCCTGGCCTCTGGTTGGATGCCTGTACAGTGGGCGTGACATAGCTGGTAGGAGTCTGATCTTTGCCAGGGGGACCCGAGGGGGCGGGACTTCTGGTGAAGTAGTCAGTCATTAAGTCCTCCTTGCTTCCTGTTGACACCTAGACAAAGGAAAAAGTAAGAAAAAATAAAAAGGTAGAATTGTATTTTATCAAAGGGGTTAGCTAACAAAAATGTCCAAGTGGTGGCATGCCACTGCTCCATGAAACACATCAATTCTAGGAGGCGTGTGGCGCAGTGGATAGAGCCTTGGTGTTGGGTTCAAACCCCACTGCAGTCAGCATGTCGTTGTGTCCCTGAGACACTTCACCCCAAATTGCTCCTGTGGGGATTGTCCACAGTATTGAGTATGTAAGTCGCTTTGGATAAAAGCGTCTAATAATAAGTAACATGTAATGTATTAAACTCCAGCATATACTGACTGATAACGCCAACTGACATACGCTATCTCTGACTGTTGGAATGCCACTGCTGTGTGAATACTACTCGTTGTGCTACTCGTGTTCCACTGACATGTGCCTCTGGTAATTAGAATCTAAAACAATGACCATGACTTGAATCAAGTTGTGAGGGGTTCTTGGGTCAACACATGTGCTGTTTGGCTAAAGTTGAACCAGTAACCCACCTCCTGTCCTTTGTTTAGTATGCATACCCTGTCACCTCCATGTAATTTGATGAAAAGGAAACTGAAACACAAGTTAGGAATATGGAACATGCAGAACCTGTCATAGTCTAATCTGTGCCGCCACTCACAAGAAACTTAAATTAGTGTTTTATATATTTATATACATTTAATACCAAGGTATAAACTATATAAGCAATACCATTATGCCATTAGTCAGCCATTCTGTAGCAGACCCGGCGGATGGTCACAATCTACCCTACTTGTACTACTTGAAAATGAAATGTCATCTCTTCATAGTTGAGCCTATTAGTCATAGACTAAGAGTAATAGCATACAAATCCTTGAGCTATAGCCAAAACTAGTTTTGTAAGGTCACCGGACTTTGACTTTTACCACAATATCACTTCATCATTGAGTCCAAAAGGTTTGTGCCAAAGTTTCAAGACATTCCCTCAAGAGTTTCCGAGGCATTGTGTTCACGAGAATGGGAGGACAGATAACGGCCAATGCCTCCGACCACAGCTGTCGGCAGTGTTAAGGCATGAAAACACATTCAGCTAGTGACTCATTTGTAGTTTTTCAACACTTCCTCTGACTTACCAAGATCGTTAATTGTATTCCCTGACTTTAGTTGTACAGTTACCCCACTGTAGAACAGCTGTGATAGAAGCACAACAGTAGAGGGGAATGACTTCCTATGTCTTTTAACTGCGTCTGCATTATAATGATGCTTTTTTTGCAGGTATCTCACTGTCTTCAGCGATGATTTGTTTTGACCATACTGCATACATTTCTTACCATAGGAGGTGACTTCAGGTTGCTCTCATGTAGAAACTCTTCCAGGGTCAACATGTCCTTAACAGGAGAAGACGTACAAGTCTTACTCCGAACCCCAACCCCACGTTGTGGTTGAGCCCTCTGGGGCACGTGGTCATATGGAAGGGTGGAGCTACGTGACAGAGCCAGTTGTGATTGGCTGAGACCCGTGACATCATCACTGGAGAGGCTGGCTGAGCGAGTCTGGCGATCTGATGGGTCTAATAAGAAAAACATTTTATTATTACTGACTGAACCTAAAACTACGATCAGATGAATACAGGATTCACTGTCTGTTAACCGTATGTACATTTAATTATATGATCTACTTTAAGTAATGTACATTTATTTTATTATCATTTAAAAATATATATTTTAAGTAAAGTATAATTATTTTAACATATTTGTATATATTTAATAATAATATTTTTTAAATATCTCTTTTCAGTAATGTATATTTATTTTTCAATTTTAATTATATTTCAATATGATCTAATTTCAGTAATGTATATTTGTTTTAAAATGTTTTAAATTATATTTTGATGATATTATATTTTTACAGTAATGTATATTTATTTTAAACAATATTTGTTATAATTTAATAATATTAATAGCCTTAAATAGTGTTTAAATATACAGTATTTAAACATTTTTATTAGAATGTAATACTTTTTTCCATTTTCAGTAATGTTTATCTACATTTAAAATGTTATATTATAATTTAATACAATTATTCATCTTTTAGTTATAGAGATTTTTTACACATTTTTATTAGAGTTTGATAAAATAATGTATTTTCAGTAATGTACATTGATTTGTACACATTGGGCTGAATATGACTTTAGATTTAAGTGTACAAATACACAGTGTGTACCTCTGCAGTTGACGGGTGAGTTGGAGCTTGAGGTGTTGTGGCTGAAGTCTGCCGACCCCGGGCGACCTCCCGTGTTGCCATGCGGACTAAATATGGAGTCGGAAGTGTTGTGGCGAGAGTCTTCATCAAATAACAGACCTGAAAAAATGTACACACTTTAAAAAAAAAGAAACTTTAAAAAATGGCTTCTATATAAGGTTACTTTTGAACCAGCGGGCTGACCTCTGGGCCGGCGGGCCGGGCCTCCCAGTCGGGGGTTGGAGTTGTTAGGGAGGCCCAGTGAGGGAGACTGATGGCTGGGAGTGGAGCTCAGAGCTTTGTGGGCCGGACCTGGGGGGAAACATAATGTTAATATGATCATCATTCAATTCAGCATTTGATATAAAGACATGCTATCAAAATATATTCCTTTACAAAATATGTCAAAGCATTCATCTAAAATAAAGATTTTTAACAGGAAGCATTGGAGGACAAGAGACATTGGGGAAAGGGAAACCTAAGCTTTGACAAGTACACTTTAAGGTTTGAAATCAACAAAGATCAAACTAATCACTATAAACAGATATCTATATATAATAATAATAATAATAATAATAATAATAATAATAATAATAATAATAATAATAATAATAATAATAATAATAATAATAATAATAATACTACATTTTTCCTGGCGCTTATATTATATGAATGCAGAATATGTATATTTAGTATGGGAAGCATTCATGTTTTCGTGACAAGAAAACCCATTTAAATCAAATCAAATCAAATCAGGTTTTATTTATATAGCACATTTAAAAGCGATTTTTGGTCGAGCCAAAGTGCTGTACATGTAATAAAAACACATTACTACAAATCACAATAAACGACAATAAATTACAACAGATATATCTTAAAAACAAAATAAAAATAAAACACACGGAAAAGTCAGGAGTCGTGCTCCGCTCTAACTAGAAAGCCAGAGAGAAGAAGTGTGTTTTTAGTTTAGATTTAAAAACCCCTAGGGTCTGGGCCGACCTCACATGGAGGGGCAGAGTGTTCCAGAGCCTAGGGCCAGCTGCTGCGAAGGCTCAGTGCCCTCTGGTTTTAAGCCTGGTCTTGGGCACTACCAGCAGCAGCTGGTCAGCAGACCTTAAAGCTCTGGCTGGGGTGTAGCGCTGGAGCAGTTCAGTTATATAGGCCGGAGCCAGCCCATTTAGTGCTTTAAAAACAAATAAAAGGACTTTAAAATCAATTCTGAACCGAACTGGAAGCCAGTGTAGTGAGGCCAGAATAGGGGTGATGTGGTCGCGCTTTTTGTGGCCAGTCAGCAAACGTGCAGCAGCGTTTTGGACTAGCTGTAAGCGTTTGATTGAGGCCTGGTCCATACCCACATACAGAGCGTTACAATAGTCCAGTCTCGAGGTTACAAAGGCGTTAATAACCCTTTCCAAGTCTTTAAAAGATAAATACGACTTGGTTTTGGCCAATAGTCTTATTTTAAAAAAGCAGGATTTAAGCAGGCTTTAGCATGTAATTAGCCCGTTTAATGAGCAAAACAGCCGTAACACATTGGTCAAAATGCAACCCTGGAACTCATTGGCTATAGCATGACGTTACATTGACTTTTTAATGCAGATATCTGCATATAACAAATTCTGTGGCTAAATGATATGTAATGTAATGTGTCTCTCAACACCAACTAAATGCTTGCTTCTCAAATTGCTAATCGGACTGTTACAGTGACCAGCACAGAGAAGAGGAAGTCTTTGACTGGATATTATCGGAGCCCAAGAAAGATTGAACCCCTGCCCCCGGAGGCTGTATTTCCGTCAGAAAGAAATTGCATAAGAGCAATCAGCCACTGTCAACACTAAATATTGCAAAAGATGTGATTGAGTTACAGGGTGAAATGTGTTTGGACTAAATGAAAAGTGATTGCATCCATGTGATTCCAGTTGTTTACATTCTTTCCAAGCAGGTGGTATATAACACTGTACATGCCTAACTTTGGCTCAGTAACCTTCTTTGGCAACAAGCTAGCATGACATGGTTGTTACTATTGGATCCCTTTAGTTATAATATACCAGTGTCTTTACCTACGCTTGAAAACAGGCCTGCTCAAGCCTCTGAAAGCTGGAATGAACTTCCATCTTAATCAAGTAGCTCACTCTCCTGCTGGATTTACAATTCCTTACCTTGTCCATGTCCGTTCTCTCCATTGACGCTCTCACTGCTGCCTCCTGGGGTGCTGCTACGATAACCCCCCCGGCCCCTGTCCGTCAAACCTGCAGACCGATCACAATGTTAGAACCTGCGTGCCATAGTAGGACGGTGAGACATATGTTGTGTGTTACAGCAAGCAGCAGGAAAGCCAAGCAACACATTTGAAATGATTTGTTCATTTAAGCTTATAAGTCACTGTGATATCAGTTGTCATTCTATTTAGACATTATGACTGTGTTTTGGAAGTGAAGGTGTGGACATGAATGGAAATTGTTTTAACATTCAGCCCAACAGACAACATAATGTCCTTGACTATGCTTCATGTAAGCTAACATTAGCTTATATAAGCCACCGTCAGCTGCTGGTTGTAAAAAGGTTATAAAAGAGGTGCTAGGTGAAAAGTGCGGTTGCTATGGTGACTGCTGACTGAGGAGAAAGAGAGAAAACTGCAGCAAAGCATCCGATTTAGAGCAACTCACACACACTGAGATGTGCTCTTAATATAACATGAAAAGCATTCAAAGCATGAAGTGAGGTGATCGCACACAATACTCATATTATTTATATTAGTGCAGTACCAAAAGTCTTTTTTTTTACATTGGAAACTTCTATTGAGGTTTTTGAATTAAGCTTTAAATGTCTATTGTCATATCTAATGAGGTAAAAAAAACTCAAACTAAATCTTCAAATTAAATAAATAACTTTGTTTTGAAAATACTGTGAAAAATGATAATTAAATAAAGAGGAAGGAAACATGTCCCTCAATTATAAAAAGTAATGAATCTGATATAAAGAGTTATTGTATTACGTCTTTCTTTTTATGAAGACAATTCAGTTTCAACATAAATACATACGGTATCATATACGTTCCATTTGTAGTGACGTGTAGATGTCTGCGTAATCACACACTGAACTCAGGGGGCAGGTATGGTAGAGGGAGAGCAACACACACACACACACACACATCACACCACACCACGCAACACACACATCACACACAAACACTACACACACAATCACACACACACACACAACACACACAAACACACCACACACACACACACACACACACACCACACACACACACTACACACCACACACCACACACACACAACACACACACACACAGCACACACACACACACACACACCACACACACCACACACACACAGCACACACACACACACACCACACACACACACACACAACACACACACACACAACACACACACACACACCACAACACACACACACACACACACACACACACACACACAACACACACACACACACACACACAACACACCCACACACCACACACACACACACACACCACACACACACACACACACACACACACACACACACACACACACACACACACACACACACACTACTTACTAGTAATACTTGGTGGCTCACACCTGCAGCATGAACCTGCTTGTGTATGTTTATCGGATTGTGTGTATGTATGATATGTGCATTTGGAGTGCTGAGAGTCACAGAGATGGGGGTTGTTGAACAGTCTGATGTGGGGGTGTCAGAGAAGACGATGCTGATGATGATGTGTATGGTTAAAAGGATGATGAAGAGGATGTTAGAATACTCCGTTGTCTGAGTTTGGCTCGCTAGTGATGGCGTCAGCTGAGGAAGACCAGAACTGAAGTCTTCTAGTGAGTGAGAGGGAGGGACGGGAGGAGGAGGAGGAGGGGGGGGGAGAGGGGGAGGAGTTTCTCTTGACTTTTACTGCGGAGGAAACGGAAACGTTTTGGGGTGGGTGTAGCTGAGATGAAGAGAATGGAGAGAGAAATGTAAAGAAAATGATGAAATAATGAGTAAATGAAAGACAGTTGATTACAAGTGATTTAGTATGTGATTGACAGAATGGAAAATAATCAATATCATGCAAGAAGATCTTTTAGATGAAAACAAGAAAACAGTCAAATCATGCATGAGACTCAAGGCTGACCTCAACTCACTTTTATCTAACCAAATGACTAATGATGCGACAGTGCACAGGAAGTGACAGATACAAACTGTATGCATGACTCCAGCCTATGTGGGGAGTCATTTATGCAGACAAACAAGACGTATGCATTTTGCTGTTTAGAAGATGTATTGTTATTTGAACTGAATTATTGTGGAATGAAATCAAAAAGCCATTTGAAATGTGAATTGAGCTCAGCCATGAGTAGAACTTAAGATAAAGCATTGAAAAAGAAAACCCATGAAAAAAGCGCATGCATTAGAACACACTTCTATGAGTGGTTCCCTGCCTTTAACTGTGTGTGGTCAAGAAATGTCAACTTGTGACCCCTTGTCACAAGTTGTATTCAAAATGTTGAGAAATACTGGTTGTAGAATTGACTGTTTAGAGAGATATTGACAATAACGGCACCGCCAACCATTTCTTTGACTGCCTTGTCCGTGACTCCCATTGTTTCATCAGTCCATATAAACCACACCATGCCCTGTTCAGCATGATCCATCTCTTCATGTTGGTGTGACAATGAAGAAGGACCAACACTAGACTGCATTCATGGTAAGTGTATTATGCATCTCATACATACATTCCAATAAGGTAGCAAGAAATGGCTCCTTTTTAGTGCTTGTTGGGCTTAATCAAATGTAAGGCAAACATTATACACAGTCATTTAACTGTACCCGAATTGACTGATTACATATTACATAAATCACAAAGTGTAATTGTACATTGCACATATTCCAAACATATTGAAGTTTGAGAGAATGTGAGCTTATGGCTCAGGGGGAGTTAATGTTCTTTTTCTATGTGTCACTGCAGAGACTGAGGAAACAGATACAGTGGAGGGTGATGTGTTGGCCAACAGCTCCCTCTAGAGAACTAGTGAGGAAGTGCGCCTGATCACAAGTACACAAGCTCAATCAGCTTTGAAGTTTTGGAGCCAAAGTGTTAGCTAAAAATGTGCTGAATATATGTGCATTGTATGATCAATTGTTTCATTTACACCCTTTTTCCATCTATCCTGAGAAGATATAACCATAGACATTAATTTAGGATAAAGTGGTGCTGATATGAGTTCTTGAACCCGGAAATGAGGTATAAGGTTAGTGGTTAACACAAGCTGAAGAGATTTTCAGTTTTTCTCTATGACATCAAATACGTCAGTAAATACCTCACTGGTGAATGTCTGAATCTTTCATGAGTCATAAAAACAGTTGCTAACAAGTGACTAAATGAGACCACTAAAGAACTGCTAACAAAGCACTTATATACTAACAAAGGACTGGCTTTTCTAAAGCCAGTTGAGTAGCACTTGAAATGTTTTAGCTCTATGAAACCTGATGTACTTATATGATTCTGTTTTCTTCAAGTTTGTATCTTCCTGGTCGAATGCACTTATTGTAAGTCTCTTTGGATAAAAGCGTCAGCTAAATGCAATGCAATGTAATATAATGTAACATCTAGCTAAACATTAGCCGCCTTAGCGGAGGTGATGCGCAGCCATGCTACTGGCGCATAGTTTGTTTATAGCCTAACGTCATCTTCAAAGATCTTATTTTTCAGCTAAATTAAAAAATCAAGTGGAAAATCACAGCTTTTTGTTGAGGGAGCCCTTGTTACGCTAACTTCCTGGTCGGCCTACACAAATATGTTCTCACTGCACCACCATTTTGTAATTGTGTCTTTGACGGGGAAATTGTAAGGGTCCTTGGAAAAAAAGGCCCATCATCAGACATTTAGTGGTCATTTATGATGTATTAAGAGATTTAATCACATTTTGTATGTGTGTCTGTGAGAGAGTGTTTACCTGCGCTGATGGGTGTGATTGCTGGGCTCTGGGGTCCCAGACTGGCGGTGTGGTTGTTATGGTTACTGTGGGCATGGCCGCTGTCCTGCGTGTAATTTCCTGAGCGCTGGTGATGTGGTGGGGGGGTTTCAGGAGGGAGGAGGGGAGGGGGGGAGGGCAATGGGATGTCCGGGGCACTCTTGGCTCGTTCTCGGTCTCGGTCTTTGCCTGCCTCCTTGTCCCGGTCGCCCCCCCGCTCCCTGCTGCTCTCCTTCCGGGGTTTGATCAGTTTGGCCAAAGCTTTGGCTCCGGACCACTGGCTCCTCCTGAAAGAAAACAACTACGTTACCCACGGTATGGAGCTGATACCGCAGAAAAGCAACACTGCACTACAGCCATTATTATACACTACAGCCAGAGGGGGAAGGAGTACTCAGATGATTTATTTAAGTAAAAGTAGTAATACCACAGTGTAGAAATACTCTGGGGCCAGATGGGTCAGAGTGTGCGGTCCTCCACGCACACTCTGACCCATCCGTACGTGGTACGCACAAAAACGGGAGAGAGGAGAAACTGCGACACCGTTGGCAGAAGGAAGAATGGAGAGAAATATGTGGAAATAATACCATAAATAAAATGTTACCTCTCATTTATCATATATGAAGAATTCATTCGCAAAAATAGATTGAAGCCAATCTTAAAATGATTAAACAAACGCCTGTTTGAGACTCCTCAGTGCACACAAAAACATAACTTGGAGAAATAAATAAATACAGATATGTTAAAACCACCTCGAATATGTTGTCTTAATGTTATGACATGTATTCTCTTAAATGATGCGGTAAGCAGGAGGACAGAATTACATCTAAACTGAGGCCGTTTTGGTTGTATAGATACGAGCATGGTTTTATATACTATCATGTATTCATGTTTTATGCCGTTTGCTAAGACTTGATAAGTCGCTCATAAAACACAGGAGGTATGGAAACTAAGAACACCATATATTTGGTAGATTTGGCAGCTGATATTACACAACACATTAGTTTGATTTCATTTAAGTGGTGGATATAGAGTTGCTGCGGGGGGGTTGAGACGCACAGGCTGCAGTGGAGACAAATATGGGCGTTACGTGAAGCCCGCAAAAGCTGTGCCGCATTTCGAGTTGATTGTGATTTATAAAAGGGAAACCGGCGTAGGATGTGCCGTATGCAAGTCCTACACCGGTACGCAGTGTTTTATAAATGGGAAAATGTCTGTGCGTATTTATTTGCTTTGTCCAACGTAAGCAACCTTCCCACGTGAATCCTACGCAAGGCTTTATAAATGAGGCCCCTGGTCAGTATAAGTCCAGCCTTCAAAATGTTACTTACATTTAAAGAAAAAAAAGAATCAAAATATACTTTAAGTACAAGGGTATAGCACTCAATGGCTTATTTCAGCCTAATATATATGTTATTATTGTATTTTAAACATTGATGCATTCAAGTTGCAGCTGGTAATGCAGGAGCTTACATATTTACTATATAAACTACTGTGTCATATGTTCATTTCATTAAGGTGAACAATAAAGTTTAGTCTAACCTATAATACATACTTTTTTTATTGTGTTGATTATATATTTTATTAATCTGAATCCTCAAAGTAACTTAAGCTGCCAAAAGAATGTGGTGGAGTAAAATATTTGCACCCGAGATGTAGTTGAGCAAGAGTGATATAGGTCATTGAAAAGTGTACAGTACTTGAGTAAATGTAGGTAAATACTGTACACCACTGGCTTTTCCATGTTATCTTTCAAAATGAAAGGGCTGATAAAAGCATTACTTTTTAGGCGTGGGGTCGTAGAACTTGTACTGGTCCATGATCTTCTCCTCCAGTTTTTCTTTCTGACGACGTAGAGCGTTCAGCTTATCTCTACATGAAGAAAGACATAGAAGAAAAGAAACATTCATACATTGTGATTTTGTCTTCCTATCAGATGATGTTACTCAAAACAGGAAGTACATTTCATTGGATGGCAGATTACTGAGCATGGGAGAGACAAAGATTCACACTCTGGATCAGAAGGGGGCGCTAATGCACAAACAAGCTGGATGCCACAGAGTCATTGTGGTGCATGGTAAGGTTTTTTGGGGTTGTAAACAGCTAAGAAATCTAATGACACAAACAATTGAATGCGAGCGTGTTAAGCGCTAAATAATACTTCAGTTTGGCAAGGGAAAAAGAAAGAAATTGTTGAAAGTTTTTCATTTGAAAAGTCACCTAACCACCACATGTGAATACTTGTGTCACTGGTAGTGTACTACATAAGTACGGGGTGTAACGGTGTGCAGTTGCAGGTGCTGTGTGCAGTTACATGTATAGTTTCTGTTCCTGGTGATACAGCTCTTTGCTCTCCATGCTCCGCTCCAGGAGAGTGTGGTTCTGCTGACTCAGCAGGTTGATCTGACTCAGCAGATGGTGGTTCTCCTCTTCCAGGTTCCCTTTCAGTCGACTCAACAGCTAAACACAGACATGCACAGAGACACATAGTCATGTCAGGACAGTAACATGAGATGCTGATCTGGAGAGACGCAGTCTACTTCAGTGCTAATACAAATAACAAAAAACGATAGAAGAAACCCAATGTAAGCCAGTAATAGTTTAAACAATACCTATAAGCTTGTTTGCTCACTACAGGGCATACACAAAAAGAAAAAGCCTAGGAGGCCACACATTGGTGGTGGCCATTTACGTAAATATGATCAAAACTTGGAATGTTTGAAACATTAAAATGTATCTAATCAAAGCAACCAGAGCATCTCTCATCCAGCCTTGTTCTCTAAAGGAAAGATTCATAGTTTTCAGTCACAACACTGCTGTGCTACAAAACATATTGATCACTTCATGTTCCAGACTGCCTGATGGCAGAAGAGAAGGCGGAGTTTACCTCACAGTGGTTGTCCAGTTTGGTCATGGTGAGATCCAGGCCCTGGTGTTGCTCCATCAGGGAGTCGTGCTGTGCCATCCATCGACTCACTTCCTGCTGGGAGGAGCTTAGTAAGCCCTTCATATCGTTCACTCTGTGCTGCAGCCCCTCACACTGCCCGGACTGCTGGGATTGGCTCTCTGCTAGTCTAAAAGGGGAAGGCAGAGAGAATTCCACTATGAGAGAAATCAAGAGATAACCTCAAAGTGTGCTGCCAGGTTCTACCTCTCACTGTAACCAGCCTATGGCTCAACTGTACCTGAACCTGTTTCAAAAACCTTATCACTTAAGATCAACTTCAAGCTGATTTACAAATGGGATTGATTTACCATACCTTTGATATTTGCCTTAGGCTCTGATATATGCGTTTTGAATCTGTTTTACAGCTCGTTTTTAACCGAACATAAATGAACAGATTTGTTTACTATCTGTTCCAGTGAATAGCGTCATCATAGAGTTATTGTGTGAAAGTCAAATGTAGATGAAGGATGCTTTTGGTGAATCTCAGTGTGCAGTTTCAAACATGTTTGTCTCATTGTGGACCATTATCACAGCAAAATGATCCACAACATTACACTTGTTGTTGTCAATGTCTGATGGTGTGACTGTTGCGGCTTTCACACCAGCGCTTTTCCCTTTCTAGCTCCTAGCGAGAGCTTTTCTGGTTCAGCTCCGGTTTCCCTTTTCAGCTCCCGCTCTGTTCACACTGCCCAGAGCTGCGTCATGACGTCACAGTTTACGTCGCTGATTTTCTCCCACAACAACAACGGGCCGGGGACTGCGTCAGGTCGATGATCGTGTTGCTTTTAATCATACGAAGCCAGATTAAATTAAATAACGACTTCTCCAACCTTATACTTTTCTCCAGAGTGCCGTGGTTCATTGTTTATTAATGTGTTTCAGCGGCATTTACCGACCGCTGCAGTGCTGGCTGCTCTTCCACGGGAGTGTATTCTCCCGTTAGCTCCGGGTTAGCTCACACGGCTCTAAAGTATTCACTGTCTGACTGTCACACAAGCAGCTGATACATATCCCCAGTTCCCCTTAAGTGAATGTGTGTCAGTCTGAATTGACGCTGTTTGGCATCACAACGCTGTTATGAAAGTTTCTCTGGTATAACATGGGTGATGTTAGCATAGCAACCGAAGCTAAACTGACTACTTGCTAAGCCGTTTTCTACAGGCACATTTTACCGGCGTATTTTTCATTATGATTCTACTTGTGATAGTCGGACATGACAACCTGTGCAGCCCATGTATTGATTCCATCCGATAGCTGCTATAATAACAAACAAAACGTCTGCCTGCTCTCCACAATGACCAATAACAGCGAACGGATGGTCAAAGTAAGGTTTCCTGCACGCCTCGACGTAAGAGACGCCGCGTCATAGCTCCGAAGCTCTTGCCTCTGGACCGACAATTTTTTGGAGTTGGAAGTGAACCGCATTCCGGAGCTATGACGCGCCGCCGCTGCGGTGTGAACAGGAAAAACCGGCGCTTTTCAGGCTCTAGCTCCCAGCAGGAGCTGGAAAAGCGCCGGTGTGAAAGGGGCATGTGTGTAATCTTCCAGTACCTGTCCACTTCTGATTTGAGCTGTAGATTCTCCTGCTGCAGTAGCCGAGTCTTCTGGAGCTCCTGGTTTAGTTCCTCCTTCTCTTTTCGGCCGTGCCCCTCCTGCTCGTCCCATTTCTCCTTCTGCTGCACCAAAATACAATACCTGCAGAGGGTTATTATTCATCATACTGTCTATGATCCCAACAGGAGAAAGCCTGGTGTTTGCATTAGCACTTGGTACCATCTAGCATGTACCATGTATGGCCCTTTCTTTTGTTCACCTGTGGAGCTGGTTATTAAGGTTGTTAAGCAGGGATGCGCCACTATTATGTTTCATGGGATAAGAGTATCAGATGAAACTGTGTTGTTTGGCAGAAAGGCAGTGTGAGGATGTTTGTTGTCTGAGGAGCCTGTTGTCCAGGATACCTCTTTTTCATCCACAGTATATCCACATGATCAGTTTTGTCATATGGATCGTCTATGTTGTCATTTGACTTGGTTTATTCTTTACGCCGATTTATATTACATTTGAATTTAATATCAGTGACCGGGAAGTGAAGACATGACTTTTTCTCAGTTCATTTACTTAAACTTTAGAACTACAGTATATCTACAAGACAGGTCTAAATAAAGATGTATATCCACTAAACACCTGATTATTTTGATTTTGTTTAGAAGTACTAATAAACATTGGTACATATTGGTTAAGTACGTAATACTACCTTACAATTTGATAAACATCCTTTCATTCTTAACAAGTGGCAAAGCATCTGCATCAAAAACACAAGATGAAAAGAACTAATATAGTTTCCAAGCTCTTATCCCAGTGTTTAAACAAATATATACATATATATTTTGTTGTATATATTTGTACTTTGTAGGTTGATGACTCATCTTCAACAAACTTGAATAAATGTATGCAATGGTATGTGATTTGTCTTGACTAGGTACCCCACCCAATATAATAAACCTCACTCAACTGTTACATCATAGTAGGAGGTGTGTTGTTAGATTTCAGCTGGCAAACACTTTGATTACATTGACTTTGTTAATCATTCCTGATCTATCAATGATGTGGTGAATGTAAAATCATACAGCTTCATATCTTTCAAAAGCTACATTTATCTTGCAATATCAACAAAAACTTGTTTTACAATACAATCTAATTTCAAGGTTTTGACTTATGTATGACACATTTCAGAAACTGAATATGCTCTAAAAGCCATGTCACTGTGACTGTGACTTCATTGGTATAAGCTTCGACCGAAGATTATGAAATCATCCAGATTTGTTGTAATGCCTCAAATGTCAGTTAACATAGAAGACATCTAATGTTTGCTTAATATACCTTTCCACTTAACTAAGTGTGTACCATATACTATAGCTTGTAGTGAGTCATCTTTTGTTATAGATACTCTTTGGTCCTTCACTCACTTGCTGTGCAGTGTGCGCTGCTCGCTCTCTAGCGCCCTCTGTTTGCCCTTCAGAGCGGCGTGCTGACTGATCAGCTGCTCGTACTCCTGAGCCTGCCTCTCGTGAACGTTCAGCAGGCGCTCGTGATCGCTGAGCACGCTCTCTCTGCCTCGCCACGCCTCCTCCCGCTGCCTCTGCCACGACTCCACCTCCGACTCCAAGGCCGTGACCTGGCCCTGCAGCACGGCATTCTGGGCCATGAGGGATGCACTCTGGGAAGAGATTGTGGAGTTTTCCACCTAAGAGCAAGTGCCATTCATTAGAACTCAGTAGTTGTTAAGAATGTATTTCACAGCTAAGTTGAATATTACATTCCGATTGGTTAATTTGGATATTTCAGAGGTTATTAATACTTTTGAACACACCGCTGCTAAGCAAAAATAATGACCGTTGCTAAGGAAGATCAAGGGAGAGATGGAAAGAGGTTAAAAGGACCAGCGGTGGACGTCAGATAAATCACCAGAAGAAGACAGACAGGAAGTAAATACTAACAGGAACACGGTATGGGCTCTGGCAGTGTTTAAAGACTGGTTCATGGACATGAACAGACTTGGACAGTCACAGAAAACCTCCATCAGTGCTGACATCATTTTAAGTTACACTGCTGTTGTCACAGTTCAGCTTCGCGTCGGGCGATAATGAACGCCTCACTGCACATGATCCTTTATATATATTTCCCTGAGAAATGTAATAGAAATGATGACGTGAGAGGATTGAATTGTGTACCTGTAGTTTTGCTGTCTCTTTGTGTAGTGCTGAGTTCTGCTCCTGCAGGGTGGAGGTGTGTCGCTGCAGCCCCATCATCTGGTTGTTCAGAGACGTGTTCTGGTTCTCCAGCTGTTTGAGCTGCCCCTTCAGCAGGCTGCTCTCCGTCAGCAGGGAGGAGTTCTGAAGGGAACACCAGGCACCCAAACAATGAACATTCTCACATCCAAATGATAGATAATAGGCACATTGAGTAGTTCACCATATTCTGTCATTAAACAAATACGTAAAAAGGGTGAATTATAACGCAATCAATTAGAGGAAAATAGACATTTAAAATAACATTAAATAAGCTACATAAAATATGAATAACAAAAAAACTAAATTAGGTGTAAAAATAAATACTAGCCTATTTAAAATAAAAAACGTCATTACTCGTATTAGATGGGTAATGTTAGCTTAGCCATCGAAGCAAATCTAATTAATCAATACTGAGATTTAGAGCCAACAAACTAAATAGTATTTACTCACTTACTATTATTTATAAGAATGTGATCACACATTATATCAAACTGTGGCGGAGCATTAACTGGGCAGACGTAAGGCCTTTTCATTAGTCACCCAATATACTATAACTACTTAAGTTTAAAATCATATCATTTTTAGACAAGGTTTTCAGTATTTCGATCATGGAGATAATGAAACATTCGATGTGTCAGATTTAGTAAAGATTTAGCTGAAGCTGATATTTCAACCCTGATTAGAACTTTCAAGGTTTTGTATTGTACGGATTGTGTAAAAAGACAATAGAAATGTCCTCGAAACCTAATGGAACAAATAACTAGAGCAAATTGTATCGGAGGTCACAATGAGTTGGTAGATATCCCCGTCACTGATTAATAACACTGTGACCTACAGCCACTGGGGGGGGGGGGTTGTTATTCAAAGTATGGTGATCAATAGATAATGTCACACATATGCCTGGTTCATGTTGCACAACGTTTATATGAAATAACTGTATTTAATAAAGAACATCTTACATTCTTTTCTATATCGATAATATGATCTTTGATTTTTAGCAGTTCTGCCGTGGCTGACCCTTGACCCCGGTCACTTTCCGAATGATGATGGGAGTTGTGGTTTTCTTCTCCCTGGAAAAAAACCCACATATTGTAAAACAGTCTACATTACAACAGCTCGTAATGTGTAAAAACATTTGGTTAGAATGTGAGTGTGACTGTCTTACAGTGGATAGGTCAGCTCGTAGCTTAGTGTTGAGCTTTTTGCTCTCTTCCAGTTTCCTTTCTAGAGAAAAGATCTTCTCCTCTTTAATCTTCATTGTCTGCTGGACAGTTTCCTCAAGCCGAGACTCCAGTAGCCTGTACCTGCTGACATGTGCACAGAAGAAATGTAAGTCATTGACTTCTGATGAGTAGTCCTAGAATGGGACCAGCGTATGAGACCCTACCTGTCCTCCAGTGTGTGCTCTTGCTGCAGCAGTTTCTCTTTGTTCAGTCCCATCTTCTCCAGTTCTTCATTGAGTCTCTCCAGGTCAACACTCTGCTGCTGAACACTCAGCTTCTCTGACACCAAATCCTGGAGACATAACAACACATGACACGACTATGAGAACTCATGAACATCAACACTTTCATACAGAGTACATGAGGACTCATATTTATCGTCAGTATTATTCTGTTGAGATTAAGAGCTAATTCTCCACCTTGGAATCAGTGGCTGATAAAAATGGCATCACCGCAAAGTCAATTTCTTTACCTATTCTGGGGTTTTATATGGGGTGCATTCGAAAATAGTCACTCGACTTGGGCACAAACTTAGCCATTCGTACATTTGGAGTGCTGTTAGAATGTAGTGTTCGGTTATTCAGAGCCGCTCACTCTCAGAGAGCACCAAGCACCGGGACTGTGTGGAAGTCAGCTTTCATTAACACGTTTAGCTAGCTAGTTAGCTTACATTACATGTTACAGGCTACAGGGTATCATGTCTCATCGTATTCATCTGTTAAATGATCATCCTTGGTGATAAGCCCAAAAAAAATATGATACAAATATTGTCTTTAAAATCATGCAGAAATAGAACACTATGTTTCTAAGAACATTGGCAGTCTCCTTTTCAGAGCTTCCGATTGGATGAACAAACACACCCACATATCAAGAGCTTCCTCAGCAGAGGGAATATGCCCAGTTGAAAAAGGTCACATTTCCTTTTTTCTGATGACTTTAACGAATTTCTATCCAAGTTTGCCCCTCTGAGTAAAGTCCTGTTGTTCTCCAGAACAGTCGCTTAAAGACTGGTAATATGTGGTAACATTATTTTGTCAACAGCTGTGAGGAAAAGAGTGTCTTTAAAGTCTATTTACTTCTGTTCACCTCTTTATTTAGACATGAAATAAGGTGTTGTGTGACCTGCAGTGTTTTCCTCTCACCTCTCTCAGCGTGGCCAGAGTCCTCTTGTCGATAGTCGCCTGTTTCTGCAGCTCTTTGTTCTCCTTCTCCAGCTCCTTGGCTTTGACCGACACCTCCCTCAGCCTCTCCATTTCCTTCTTCAGAGTTGCTCCCTCTTTCTCCACTGTGGTTAACCTCCTGGCTTTCTCCTCCAGCTCTGTCTCTTTCCCTTCCAGCAGTGTCCTGCTCCTCCAGCTCTCCTTCTCCAGGTTCTTCCTGCCCTTCTCTGCCTGCTCCAAGGCCACTTGGAGCTTCCTCCTCTCCTCTTCCACTTCCTCCCTCCTTTTCCGCTCATTCTTCAGTTCTTGTACTTCCCTTCTCAGTTCCTCCTCTCTGACATGCGTCTCCTGCCTCTCCCTCTCTTCCTCTTCCCTGTCCTCTTTGCTTCTCTGTATTTCCTCCTCTAAGCGATGCTTCTCCTGGTTCAGAGTGGCCATGTTCTGCTCCAGCCTCTCTGCCCTCTTCTTCTCTCCCTGCGCCTCCCCTCTGGCCTCCTCCAGCTTCCTCTGCAGATCCTGAGTCTGTCTCTGCACCTCCTTGTGCTCGTCCTGCAGGGAGGCCAGACGGGTGGATGAGGAGCGCAGATTCTCCATGGAGCAGCGCAGGTCCAGGTTCTCCTTGGACAGCAGGCTGTGCTCCGCCTCCTGCCTCCCCAGCCGCTGCTGCTCCCCCTGGGCCTCCCCCTGGGCCTCCTCCAGCTCCCGCTTCAGCCGGTGCACCTCCTGCTCCAGGGAGGACACCTGCTTCTCCAGAGCCTCCGACTGCTCGCTGCAAACACGCAGAGAGGCCAGCTACAAGCAAGACAGAGAAGATATAGTCTGAGTTAGAATTGAATCAATTCAGTATGCTTTTAAGAATAAGTTATGCATGACAACAAAACAAAAAACGTTGACATCAAGACAAGGGATGGCAAGTGCTCACATGCTAACTCATTCACAGGTTTAGGACTCACTCCTGGACTCTATTACTATTACTTAAAGGTAGGGTAGGTCATTTTGGAGAAACCAGCTCCAGTGCGCAAGAATTTGAAAATACACAGCCGGAGAAAATCTGCCACTTCCTTACAGAGCCCCTCCTCCAACACACGAACGCGTACATGACCAATGAGGGCACGAGATAAGTTTGTGCACAGATGGAAGGCTGACAGGCAGGTAGGCCATCCAGTTACTTTAGCCGGGCCGGCTAAAATGATTGGTCGTGCTTTTTACAGTACTACGGCTTCCACAGATGACATTTTGTTATGGATTTTGTCAAAGCACTTAAGATATTCATTACTATCGGGATGTTAAGAGCATTCCATGGAATATAACAAAAAGTGTATCTCGAGCCGGTTTCTCAAACTTACCTACCCTACCTTTAATGCCTATATATAATAACTTAAAAAATATATGTAAAAATATAATATTACCATTATTACTATTATCTATTTTGAGTATTTACCTATTATTACATTTTTTTTTAATGTTTTTATTTAAATACTCTTCAAAAAATGTCTGGGAATTGAACATGACTGTAAGCACAGGATAGATAAGTAAACAATTGAAGGTATTTTTCAACAAAAACAACATTCAATAACTCCCCTGTTATACAACGCACTGCTATAAAATCCCTTTATTGCGCTACTTCTGGTTAATTTACATCAATAACGTTTGAAAAAAAATGCATTTGCTCAATGTTGTTGTGAATTTTGTATATGGAAAATATTCAGAAATCCCCTGTCATACAGTAAAGTGTTACCAAAATCATTCACACATTGACAGTCTCCTGCTGGTTCAAACACCCTACAATGTTTGGAAAAATATGCTTTTGTCTGATTTTGGTGAAATGTTGTTATGTTTGTCATGAATTACTATTTATTTTAACTTTTTCACAACCATTCTTGACTGTTAACTACATTAGATGAGTTGTTTTGTTTGCTTATGTTTTGTGTTTTTGTGGAGGAAGAGTAGCCAATGCTAATGCTAACGGTATCCTAATAAAGACACATAGACAGATTACCTCTCTGCTCAAAGTGTCCCTGCCCCTCTCCAGCCTGGCCGTCTCTCGCTCCAGCTCCTCACATCGCCCCGCCCTGCTCCCCAGCCTCTCTGCCTCCTCATTGGCCAGTTTGAGTTGGGTCTCTAAGCTGGCCAATCGGGAGCTGGTGTCAGTGATGTTCTGGTGCAGGAGGCGGTTCTCGGTTTCCACCTCGCGGACCCTGGCCTCGCTGTTGGACTGAGCGCGCTCCTGAAGGGACGCCACGGCATCAGAGAGGTGCTGCTTCTCACTCTCCAACTCTGAGATCTGATTGGACAGGAAGAGGAGAATATGGTGTGGACAGAATCAGATTATGCTTTTTGGTCTCTTATAATAAACATTAACGTTGACAAAGCCAATGTTCATGTTATTTTAATTGCTTATTATTTTTGTTTTAATTTTACTTATTAATTTCCATTATTTATGTCTCTTGCCTGTAATAAATAATTAAAAATGATATTCAAAAAAACGTTATCATTGTTTTTCCTGAGTGTGTGGGACCCGCACACATTTAGGTATGGAGCTATGATGCAGTGATGTGCTTGAGTTTTTAGGTGAGCAAGATTTGTACAAATGTTGTATAAACGTAGCGATATAGATGTATAATTAACATCTAAGTGTTACAAAAGATATGAAAATTATTATGATTGTTATCATAACTTTATCCGGTAAAATGACGTGTTTGTCATGTGAAACACTGTGTCACCTGTTAGCTCATATGGAGTAATACAAGTAGTGTAACCACCTTTAACTAAATAATAAGCTGTGTATTTGTATCTTAGTATAGTCAGTCAGTGTTTTTTTCCTATATTTTAAGTTTTAAGCAAGTTTAAGAGTGTACATGAATGTTTATACGGATGCATCATTCATTGGACCTGCGTCCAAGTGTGCAACATATGCTTTAGAGTTTTGAAATACCTGTCTGTCTTTCTCCGCCCTCAGAGTGTGCATATCTCTCTCCAGATTCAGTTTTTCCTTCAGTATTTCCTCCCCCAGAGACTCCATGTCCTGATTAGTCAGCCTCTCCTGCTCCAATAAACCCTGGAGACGCTCAATCTAAGAAACAAACAACATAAGGTTAGTGTAACTAATAGTAACAGAGAAATGAGTAATACAACTTGTATACACACACACCTTATTGCTGAAGCCTTGGTTCTCCCGGTCCAGCTCCTGGGTGTGGAGCTGCTGCTCCTGCAGGAGGTGGTTCTCCTCCTTCAGTCTCTCTACAGAGGTCTGAAGCTCCCGGTTCTCCTTCTCCAGCTTCAACACCCGACTGGAAACACACTCGTTCAGCTCGTGGACCAAGGACTTACGAGCTGCAAAGAAAAGAATATTTTAGTTTTGACCAAATAGAGAACAGGGTATAGCAGAGTAAAACCCAATAGAGTGGTGCAGTGACGCGTCCTAAAACCCGGAAGTAAGCTGTGAATGGGTTCCCTCGACAAAAGAGCAATGGGATTTCTCCATAGGATTTTGGAAAACACCTCGAAATAAAGTCTGTGGAAAACAAACCTGTTTGATAAATGCACGTTTTGTTCAGCCGGATAATATCCACATGTCTACCCTACTTTTATCATTTTCGATGCTGCGTCACTGCACCACTCAATAATGAGTATGTCTTACTCTCTGTGTTAGTGTTGTCATGGTTCTTGGACAGCTGCTCCAGCTCCCAGCCCAGATGAGCCGACTCGTTCATACTCTGTTTCTGTCCGATCTCCAGCAGCATGTTCTCCTCCACCAGCTCCTCCATCCTCCGACGCTCATTGTCCCGCTCCTGCAACATTTGAATGCCAATGTTTTCTTAAGAGTCATAAGCATTGTTTTAGGGACATCAAGAACCAAAACCCAGAAACAGACCATTAGCATATCAAAAAGCCCTGATTCATAACTCATGTAGAACTCTTACAAGAGTGGGGCAGTGATGACATATCTTTGTAGGCCGAGCCGGAAGTTAGCATCACATGGGCTCCCTCAACAAAAAGCAAGGGGAATTTTTCAATGGATTATGGAATATTGCAGAAAATAAGAGCTGTGGCAAATGAACATTGATTATGCTACAGGTTTGTTTCAGCAGGATAATCTCCACATATTAACACCACTTTTGAGGCACGAATACAATAGCCAGAAGTAAAAAAGTTAGCTAGGCTATAAAACGACATTGCGGTTGCATGACTTTAGGTCACCGCCGCTAAGCTAAAGGTGGCTAATGGTCGAAGTGATGGCATTTAGTAGTCTCATTTAGCTACTGGTTTGCAATCACAGTTTTTATGACATGTAAAAGCTTCAGACATTCACCAGTGGGGTATGCACTGACATATTTGATGTTGTAGAACAAAATGTGAAAGTCTCTTCACCTTAGATTTACTTACCAAAAATTCATTCAAAAAGACATTGTCTTTAAGACTCATTCCCAAGTATAGGACGTACAGCACAACACTAATTGTTTATGCACAACACTAATTGTTTATGCACAAGAAAGGCTGTTTTGTTATTCAAGCTTATGTGAAAACCTGTAAATTAGCAGATACATGACATTTTGACTTATCATTTGTGTAGTTTAGACTCATGGCATTGTATATTACCATTTCCAAGTCGTTTAGTTTAGCTCGTAGTAACAGGTTGTCTTTCTCCAGTGTGTGCAGTTTGTCACAGCGCCCCCTGGATGCTGACAGCTGCTCTTCCAACAGCACCTTGGTCTCGATGAGCGTCTCGTTGTCCTCGCGAAGCTCCTGAAGGACCACAGACACATACATACTGAGTTTAATGCCTTTGCCAGCTGCCAAGTAAGTCTGGCTCCATGGTGCGTTTATGCCTTATCTTTTGGAATTTCAATAACATGAAACATATCCAATAAAAGATAATGATTCTGTATTAAGTGTTAAAGTAAACAAGGTATATCAACTTAACAGTGGTGAAGTGTAACTAATTATATTTACTTTAGTATATCACTTCATTATTTCCTCAACTACAGTTTAGAGGCAAAAATATCATACTTTAACTCCAGTAACTGTATCAACACTTTGAGTAACTAGTTCCTTTTTACTAGGGCTGAACGATATATCGTGTCATGGCGATAACCGCGATATGCGCGATATTCACATCGCAGGGACGTGCGATTTGATTCATTCTACTTTCATTTTTTTTTTTAGGACATGCGATATTAACTAGGTAAATTAACTCAAACACGACATGTTACAATTATTTTGCTGCTTGGAAAACTTGCGCGGCTCTCATGTTAGGGGTACTTGAGTGAGTGACATGCAGGCTCTGCATGCACAACAAACCACCAATCACAATCATTCTTGATCAGATCACAGCAGGCCCCGCCCCGCTAGTTTGCAGACCATCAAAACACCGGTAAAAAATGAGCGAGGCACAGGAGGACGAGAATGAAGATTTACTTCCAAAAAGAAAAGCAACATCTGCCATCTGGAACTATTTGGATACAAAAAGGTTCTTCTCTTTTAATTTCATTTCAAACCTTTATGTAACCAGATTGGTCTCATTGAGATCATAGATCTCTTTTTCAAGGGAGCCCTCTTCTTCATTCACAGATGAACCCCCTTATTTGAGGGTAAGCAACATGCATTATCATGACATGTTAGATCATGACTTAAGGTATGATGAGTCTGAGTCAACCAGTTAAGATCCAGACGTCCGTGACTAAAATCCTTCATCCGGTTAAATATAGTTTAAAAAACCGCAATATATATCGCAGGGGAAAAAAATATCGCAATGTCTGTTTTTTTCAATATCGTGCAGCCCTACTTTTTACCTATAGAAACACATGATATGACTACTGTATATGAAATGATACCATACTGTACTAATAATCAACCCAATATTTGACCAGTATCTCAAATTGGCTCCACATTAGGAAACTATAATAATAAAATGCTCTTACACTTTGAATTCATACATTTGACCTTAGTATGAAGTATGGAGTATTTTAAGACTGTAGTATTTCTACTTTGACTGAAGAAATAATAGAGTTTAGTCTGCAACTAAACCAGTAAATGCTAAATATATAAATGTAGTAGAATATGTTGTTTAGACATTATGAAAATGTAAAGCACCTCAACATTACAATAAATATATCCAATTACCCTTCAAAGATCCATACAGTACACAGACTGTTATAATGTTATAATGTAAGCCTGATGCTATATCGGTGTGAAGTGTGACGCTGTGGGTGTACCTCCATCCTGGTCTTGTAGAAGTGAACATCGTTGAGTTTCTCTTTACAGCGGGTCAGCTCAGTCTCCAGTCGGTCCACCCGGGCTGCTCTCTCCCTCAGAGAGTCCACCTCGTCCCGGTACACTCTGACTGACCGGGCCTCACAGGACAGAGACTGGTTCTGGACCAAAACACACACACAAGCAACATTAATGAGCCATCCTTTTCTCGCTCTATGTGTAATCACGTAGATTTCTCCATATTTCTGTTTTCAAAGATGAAATGCAACCTTTTTCTCCCTTCCTGTGCCTTGATTAAATACAAATAAGATCAAGTGAAAGCAATATAAACTGGGTGTATTCCTTGTGTGCTCCAGGAAGACATACCACCCAAGATGTTTGGCACACTCTTATATCTCCATGGCTTTCTCAAACATGTTACATTTTAAATCGGAAATGGACGTCAATTGAGAAGGCGGTCCTTTAATGATTCCTAGGACTTACACAATGCAGACAGAATGTAGCATCGATCACCTCCTAATGTGGTCTATGTGACCCTATCTCAATGCCTCTCTAATGCGTCTTGGGTGCACTCACACCTGTATTAAGAGTCAGTAGTACTCTTGTAATCAGATGACTTGAAATGCATGTTAATGCCAGGTGTAAATAGGGCCGGTAAACTGTGTGTCCCAACACTAATACAATTAAAATAAAAAGTTTACAAATGGGAAATTACTAGGTTGATTTCCAGAATAAATAATATAATGACAATTAAAGTTAAATTGTACCGATTTAACTAATAAAATGTAGCTTTGAAGTGTGAATAAAAAGAATAGATGTATGTTAACACTTGCAATATGAGACAGTAGGATATTCACAGAGAAACTGGACCATTCATATTAGAATTAGCGGCAAAAATGGCACTTATCAATGCCATTATTGTGTGAAGTGTATCCCCAGTGTTAATTCTTGTTTTCATAATGTTCCTCCAGTCACCACTGGTTATTAACGGCTCTGACCTCTTGTTTCTGTCTCTGCAACTCCTGATCGAGTCGCTCCACTTCATGTTTAGAGTCCATCAGCTGCTCTGTCTTCTCCTCCCTGCAAGCAGAAACACACATAAACAGTGAAGCCATTGTAGAGACAGTAAACAATGTTTACAGCAAGTCTTTAATATAGCACAGTAAAACAGTAGATTTAGCAGCATGTCTTCCAAGTTACTGCAGATTGAATAGTGTTTTGTTTATCTGCAAATAGTTGTATCCTCAATGGGATTACACCCTATCAGAAGTACACAGCATAATAAGATATGTTGGATATATAATGACTTCCAGCTGCTGCATCCCCAGAGTTCAGCCTTAAACCAGTTCCACCAACACAAAACGTTAAGACTCTACCGTGCAACAATATGTAATGAACTGTCAATTTAGCCGTATGAAGTGATTTGTTTCATCTTTCACATTACATGTAATCATACTGTATGATCTTGTCTTAACAGAAAAAGAATAGCCTGAACTGATTTGATTGTTATGTGTATGATTTTGAAGAAAACATCTAGGTTTTTGTTTGTCAGAACTGTAAAATGAGCTTAGTTAGACATTGAAACTTCTGTAATCAATCTGTAAATAACTGGACAATATATACTTCCACTTTGAATACCATCACCTGGTTGCTATCACACTATTTTATACATGCTACACTTATTCTTTTGTATAAATACTGTTACTGGTACTGGATGAGTATTTTGTCAATTGTAAATTGTGAAACTTCGATGTGATCTTTAATATTTGATGCATGCTTCTTAATGAATATGAAGCTATCTTAGGCTCTTGACTTGCTGTAATCATGTACATCCCCCTATGGGTGGAATAAAGGTATTCTGATTCTGGAGACACTCACAGTTCTTGTCTGTATCTGCGGAGCTTGGATTTGGTGTCAGCGAGCTCCACAGACAGATGCTGCTTCTCCTCTTTGGTCAGGCCAGACGTATTGACAGACGATCCCCCGTTACTCATCCCCCCTCCTCCAGAGCCCTGCCCCCGCTCCAAGCTGTTCATGCCCAGGTTCCTGCAGCCCTCCTGGGGCTGCTGGCTGGACAGGTAGTCCCTCTCCTGGGTCAGATCCACGATCACCTGAAAGGCAGAAGGGATGTTGCTGAATTCCCATCCCATTCGAGTTTTCTCAATGAAATACTGGCAAAATGTCTTATAATAATTGAACCATTTCCCGACATAAATCCATTTATAGAAATGTGTAGAAAATCCTCTGAATCAGCATAATACCATGTTAAACCTATACACTGGAATTCATCCATAATATCAATAGCTGACTAATGCTATAAAACCACTGCACATATTGAAATGTACACATTATTACATATTATAATTGTAATATATCATTTTTTAATATAACTTGTGTTTATTTTAACATTGTTATTTCATTTTTTATATTGCACATTTTTACTTTAACTCCGTTTTTTTATATTCCTATTTGATTCTATTTCATGTTATATTTGTATTGCACATGTTCCTTCAACTTCCTATGTTTACATAAGATTTTATTTGATGTTTTATTGCACAATTTTACATTTACTTCTTATGCTTTATATACAAAAAAAACGTTTTATTCTAAAATGGAGCAACTGTTAAGAAACCCAATTTCTCGGGGAAAAAATGAAGCATATAAATGATTTTGATATGTAACCAAACGATCTGCATAATATCCATCATATTCTAAGAAGAAAATAATGGCTGGTATTTTTGATGGGGATTTGAAGTGTTTGAAACATACTTATCATTACAAGTATAACAGCAGTATCAGCCTGGCAGGGGTTGTTGTGTGTGAGTGTCATTACCTCACTATCTTTGTCTCTCTGGTCGATCAGTTGCTGTAGCGACGCAGCCATGTTGCGGGACAGAGGCTCCAGCTCCTCCTGACCGAGCGCTGGCCCTTCATCCAGCCAGGAGAGGTCCAGGACGTTCAGCTGGTTGTGTGTCACCTGACACAGACAACACACACACCATTTTTTTATTTCAAATATAAGACCGGTAGTATACTCTAATATAAAACATAGTGACTTCCACCTTGCCAGTGGCGGAATAAATACTCAGATTCTATTCTTAAATAAAAGTTACAATAATTAATTGTAAAAAACACTTGGTTACAAGTAAAAGTTCTGTATTCAAAATCTCACTTGAGTTAAAGTTTAATTATTTAATTAATGAATTTGCTGGAAATGTTAACCTATGATTTTATGTCAATGTTTATTTATTAGTTGATATACATTTTGTATTAGTTAAAAATCTTTATTTATAAGTAACAAAAGATGTGAGATCAATCTAGTGTAGTAGACATGAAAAGTAGCATTACATCAAAATACATGTACCTCAAAGTTGATGCAAGTACAATAAATGAGTAAATGTACTTACAGTAGTTACATTGCAACAGTGCTCATGTACACATTCAGTTCAGATTCTAGCACTTCATTATATCTATTGGTAAGACTATTCAAATAAGATGTCACTTATTACAGCTGCATACAAATTAACGTATTTCATTGACTTGTGAATTTATTGCATTTTTTATTTGGCTTGACTTGTTTGGCAAGTGTGAGTTTAAACAATGCCCGTCCATGCAGCAAGTGATGACTCTTTGAAGTAAGGTTAACTAGCATGCTAACATCATTAGCATGAACCTTTCATCCAGCAGATAATAGCCCAGTGTTTCCCCTAGGATGGAGTCATAGCAGCGGTGCTAAGGCACAACAAAATGTGAGCGCGGAGCGCGTGGAATTTTTTAGTGTGTGCGAAGTGCGCCCCGCCAATATGTTTCTATGTGTCTGCCCGCACAAGAAAGGCTCTTGAGGCTCTACAGGTGTATTTTGCTAAATCACCTTTATTGAACATACAGTAACACAAATACTACACATCCACATAACAAACAATCAAAATAAAATGTATGCAATTTAATTATTTGAACCTGCTTTATTTGGGGGTGGACCTCTAGGGGTCACGTATTATTATTTTGGTGTATAAAAAAATAAAAAATTATGATAATAATACAAATAAAAATAAATGTTTGGTACCTGGCTGGCGCCCCGTAGCAGCGGCGCACATACATTGTATATAGGGGAAACACTGAATAGCCTCTAAGAAGTAAATGCATGAATATATACTGTATGGCATCATCTAGACTTATTGTAAGTCGCTTTGGATAAAAGCGTCAGCTAAATGCAATGTAATGTAATCATCTACAGAGTACAGAAAACATTACAGAGTTTTATAGTCTTCCGCCCCGGAATTATTATACTTCCAGAAAGCTCAAAGAAGAAATCTGATGTCTTTAAACAGAAACTGAGGTTTTCCTATAACAATAACCACCTTTTTTAATGTAAGAAGTTTCAAATTCTGTAAGTATACAGCGGTGCAGGAATGAGGCCTGATCTGAGGAATGTGTCCCTAGTCTCAACAAAATAAAACATTTTCACATGTCATAAAATCACTTCGCGGTGGTGATGCGCAGCCATGCAACCATGATGTAGTTTGTTTATAACCTTATGTTAGCTTTTGACTTCTGGCTATTGCATTTACACTTTAAAAATCACAAAGTGGTGTTACTATGTGGAGATGATCTTGCTGAATATCAAAAAGGTTGAGTTCACATGATAATTGAACCGTTCACATGACAGAACAATTCCATCCATTGATCCACACATCATTGATACATGGACTAGTCTGTTGGTATTTGTAATTGATGGTTAGTGAGGATTTCAGTGGAATAGGGAAAACAGCAGAACAAATGATTGAACCTGAGATGTGCATTTATCACTGATATGTTTCTGTGATAGTGTAGCACTGAGCTCTACTGACCTCCTGGATGTGAGAAACAATCGCAGCCTGAGTGTCAAAGTCCAGCAGCTTGATCTTCTCTATCATCTCCTCCTTACGCTCACACTGTCACACAAACACAAAGCAGAACATTAGACACATTTGAATGAACATGTGTATATTGTTTGTTGCCCACATTGGTCTCGAGCAGCACAGGACTATGGGAAATATAGTATGATAAAGAATGCACATTTAAATGGAAGATGTTTATTTGATCCCCTGGAGCACATGTGTCAAACTCAAGGCCCGGGGGCCAAATCAGGCCCTTGGTGGATTTAATTTCGGCCCGCAGGATCATTTCTAATTCCTATTAGATCTGGCCCTCTGGTATATTGCACGCACACCTTCACTCAATCCTGAGGGTCTCCTCAGCTCAGAGCCTGACCCCAAACATTGATGAACTTGCACCCAAGATGAGATGCCAAGTATCTGGCTTGAACTAGCATCACAGAGCAGCACACTGAGTTTAATGGATGTTTCCTTCTGCACTTTGTCTCTCACGACAACAGGGCATGTTTGGTTTTTTCTTTGAGGGAAATAGTTTTGTTGAAGCTGTTGTTGGCCTGTGGAAAAATGTGATCATAAGAAATGACTCTGGAAAAGCTGCAGATAGAGCCATAAGAAATGAATGCTACTGATTATTTAATGTTTAATGTTGTTTTTATAGGCAATCATTTAAGCTTTGTTAGTTCCAGGTTTAATGTGTGCAATAAGTTCATTTCAATACGTTTTTGCAACAAACATTGAACCAGTCCGGCCCTCGACTAGTACCCATTTTTTTATTTTGGCCCACTGTGTATTTGAGTTTGACGCCCCTGCGAGGGAGGAACAATTGTACATTTAAACGACATTAAAAACATGTGGCTTTATCCCCCCTCCTTCCCTCCCTCCCCCTGTGGTTCCATTATAGCTCTCTCATGGCCCTTTTCCTGGAACTAGTAGAACCAGTACAGGCAGGGAGGGAGACACACGGAGGGAGGGACGGGAGGGAAATGAGGTATTAACATCTTTTAGAGCGTTGCTTTTATTGCTTTGAAATGGTCTATTGTTTTGACTTGTACTTTTGAGGTTTAAAGTGCTCTAAAGCTGTATTGTATTGTAATGGAGGGAGAAACAGAACAGACCAAAGCAAATGAAAATGATAAGAGAAAAAGCAACATCAAAAAACCCTTTGGTAGGTTCAAAGCCATGGGAGAAGTGGAAATCGGAGACAACTAATAGCCGAACAAACAAAACACAGACAGAACACACCTGCGCCCCCCCCCTCCCACAGGACTTGCCCCTCCTCTTTAATTACTGGTAACCCAAAACACTCGCAATAGCTGGATGATTCTTAATTAATGCTTCAAATATATTTTGAAATGTGCTGGTCTACACGGGCAAATGTGTTCACTTTAACACATTTCTACTTACATATTCCTATAAAATAACATTCATGGTCTTCAGAGGATCTATCCTAATGACTTTCCTGTGAAGATTTATCTATATTTTTTAATGAAACGATAAGTTAACTTAACATCTACTACATGGGATTAATAGAAACTGTCTGTAAAGGGCTCTCATGCAATGCTCTTTGCCGACCAATACCCAACCTTTTGATTTCTCAGCACCACAATTACACTGCTTATGATTGGGTATTATTGATGTAACTCTATTCATTGTGATGGTGCAGTCCCACCCTGCACCTTATCACTGAACGGCTGTGCTCAGACATGCAAAGAAAACAGACAGATACACTTCCTGCTGGGAGACTGGGTGGTACAGTGAGCGGCTGTGTTTGGGCGTGTGTGTGAGAGTGTGTGTGAGTGCGTTACCTGGACAGCACAGCCTAGTACCAGCAACAGAAGACTTTTTAGCTCCTCCATGCTCTTAACTAGAGGAAACCAAACACAAGCAACTGTGATGAAGCTGAATACAAGTGTTAGTACATGACCTAACTGATAACAGTAATACATAATTGTATCAAAGGGAAAACTAGTTGGCGAATATAAAGCCTAAATAAGATGGTAGCCGGTATAACAAGAGGTTAAGGGGGAACATCCCAATATAAGCTGACAATAAGAAATAGAAAAACAACATTGCACTGGTCATAAATACAATGCTCCATAGGAAGATACATGTGTATAATACATGGAAATATGTAGGACTGATGTGTGAGAGAGTGTGTTACCTGATATTGGATCCTTGGCGATGGAGAGGATGTTGGGAAGGGGCATGAGGACTAACTGCTGTAAGGTCTCCTGTAACAGACACGATGAGGTGTGGGAGGTTAGTGGGACAGAGAAAAAGAACAAACACTTTGAATGGTGATAATAATAACAACTGTACAAAAGGCAGTGTTACTGTCAAGTGCTGCAGGAGCACTAGAAACTTTCAGCATGCTTACAGTCTGATACAATAATGCTTTTCCCCTTTAGGGCAACTGTACTCATATCGGTTGAAGTTATATTGAGGCTTAATGTTACATATCATTAGATGCATGGCTGCTTTGAGTGACAGGTGGGTGTCGTCTTGGGTTTCGAGCCGCTTGCCGTCTGCTCTGCCGTCTCAAGCATTCACCAATGATCCTTATTTCTTTTTCTTTACCAGACTCCACTCTGTCCATAACCCTGAACAATTTGTACACACACTACCTTACTCCATTACTCCACTACACTTGCATATAGTGTGTTTGTTAAAAAAAATGGTATCTTTATGTATCTATTAGTGTATTCTAGCTTATGCTGTATATGTTGTTGTTTTGTCTGTCTGACTGGTTGTCTGAATGCCTTTTGTTATGTTTGTTTTTGCCCTATTCTTCTTTGTTAAGCGAACTTGGGTCTCATGAAAGGCGCTATATAAATCCAAGCTATTATTATTATTATTATTATTGTGTAACCGATAGGTATAAAACACAGATAACAATCTTTGTACTTTTCATGAATATATTTACTGTTTATATGTATGAGCCATGCCTTGTTTACATCACATCTTTCCTTATCAGGAGTATGACAATGTTGCCCGTTTAAAGATTTACTTTTCATGTCAACACACTCAAAGCTTGTTTTGCCCTGCAGTGACAGCAGAGGCCACTAAAAACACTGCAGCCATTGTGCCTAAACACCCAAATATGAACAATGCAACCTAGCAAAATGAGTTTTGCACGACTGCCTTATTTTGCTGTGAGGGATGAACCTGCAGCACTCTGCTTAGCGGCACCATATAAGCTACTGCCATTGCATGTCACCTAACTTGCCTGTTGAGACCAAACATCAGCCAGTGCCCATGTAGGGTGCAAATCTTCATAACATTTAAAAATAAAATAAAAATTGGTCTGACATTTATATATTACAGTTTCTATAACTGTTGATGCTTACCACTAGTGGTGCAAAATGTCATGTTTGGCCCAAAATGAAACATTGGTGATAGCAGGTTAAGGTCCAGAGTGACCCAGACTTGTGCAACTGCATGTTTGTGTGTGTGTAGGCAGGCAGCCAACAGGAAACACCCAGCTGGAGAGTGTGTGTGTGTGTGTATGTGTGTGTATGTGTGTGTGTGTGTGTGTGTGGGGGTCTGAGTTTGGAAAAATGTGTTTTCATTCCAGAATATCCTCCTGTCTCCCAAAACACATCTGATAGTCCAGACTAAAGAGGAATTGTGAGCAATAAAAACACCTCTCATAATCAAATGCTATGAAATTAACCAGGGCATAGGGAGAGGCAGGTCAACGCAAGTTGTTTTTATATGAGGAAACATGAATAAGGTCACAAAGGAAGACATGGGGGTTATAGAAAGGACACAAGGGACTAGACATGCTGATGACCTCTGGTTCAAGAGAAGGGAGTGTGTTAGATGGGGATGTTTTGGGATAAGGGAAGTGGCTGTCAGCAAGGAAAGGGCTGGCTGGAATCAAACAGTGAACGGCATGCAGCACCACCTTCTCAAAGAGAACAAAAACAACATGTTGGGTCCTTGTTGCAAAAGCACAACTTGTTTTATCTGAATCAGGAATCCATATTTGACAATAAAAAGAAAATCCAATCTATGGGTCAATACTTGTTTTATCAATCTTATATACTGTAAGCAAGGTTACCAGCAACAGCTTTCTTCCAGCAGAGAAGTAGTGGCAAAATGTGTGTTTTGTAAATAAACAAGATGCTCAATCCTGCGTTCATCTCAAGTAGGTTGGTCTCTTTATGAAGTCAAATAAGTCAAACAAGAAACTACAGCTGATGTATACTGTACAGTAACTGCGCTGCTGGGCTTTAAAAAAAAAAAGACAAATAGAGCACTTCTGTATAAGCGACACTGCACTGGCTTTCCAGATTTGTAGAATCCTTCTTATGGTATACAAATGTCTGTTTGCTCCAGCACCCACTGATATCTCCGATTCTCTATCACATGTCCCTGTGTGAGCATTACCTTTTTTAAATATTGCCCCAAAGTCCCCTGGAATAAAATGTGTGCGAGCGGCTTTTATCCACTGCCGCCCAACCTTTGGAACACCCGTGACCCGACCAGGAAATGTTAGAGGCAGACTTTTTGTAGACTCCAGCTGGAAGCATACTCTTTCCCACTTTGCTTTTGATTAGCAACATTCCCCTTTCTTTCTTTTTTTACATATTTATAAATGTTGCCTTATTTCTGCCTTACTTTTACAGAGGGGGTAATTTGTTGTTTACTTTAAGTCTTCTTTTGTCTTGTGTTTTAAGTACTTTGAGCTGCATCCTGTTGTGCTATGAAAAAAAGCTTAATTATTATTGTTAATATAATGACTTTACATTAGGGTTACAACCAAGTAGCAGTAACAGGTATAAGGTAGTGTGTATAGCGGTGCAGATACTGTTACACTGGCCTATACACCAGCAGGTAATGAGAGAACACACACACACACACACACACACACACACACACACACACACACACACACACACACACACACACACACACACACACACACACACACACACACACACACACACACACACACACACACACACACACACACACACACCACACACACACACACACACACACACACACACACACACACACACACACACACACACACACACACACACACACACACACACACACACACACACACACACACCACACACACACACACACACACACACACACACACACACACACACACACACCACACACACACACACACACACACACACACACACACACACACACACACACACACACACACACACACACACACACACAATGTGAATAAAACATGTAGGCTGGCCACCAGATGTCTTTAGAGACACTCAGCTGAAACACACCGTCAGTCTGGGAGCTTTACCAAGAATATGTTATGACACCTATTATCTAAACACTGAATATACTGCTAAAGAGCAAGAGACATTTTCAATGACATGTTTCTAAGGGGATTTAAGCAGCTTGCTCTTCTTAGATTCTTACCTCAGTGTGTCCTATATATTACATTGGTGATAACACCAAATAGTTATATAAAGAATCAAAAAGGGTTTATATATTCTAGCCCTCTCAGACGTATCTAGTCAGTCATAGCTCTAGTTAGTCTTGGCTAAACTTGTATTCATCTAAGCTAAACAAAATGACCAAACAACATTACCAATTTAGGCTGAGCTGTTCTTTGACCTAAAGCTTGACAGGAGGATACCATGCAGACATAGTAGTGTGAAAGATGAGCTGTTTGTCCATGGCTAATACAGCTAACTGGGATAACAGCTAACGGAACTAAAGACACAGAGGTCTGACCGTTTCTGTTTGAAGGAGGCCAACAGTCATCATGCATTGGGTGCGTCTCACTTCGGTTATTTTTCATTTCCTCGCTCCTCGGGCTCGGTATCACCGGAAGTTGATTTGTCTGCGCCATCTTGAGTAGCGTCCCAGTGGCCTTATTTGTGCCAGAGGACCGAGGATCGAGGAGCGATAACGGAGGAGCGATAATCGAGGAACTACCAGACCATCCTCCGGTGAAATCCTCAGACACTCGCCCCGCCCCCTTACTGTGTATCGCTCACTGATTGGACGATGCAGCGCATGCACTGATCTGGCTGCTGTCAGACGATCAGCTGTGCGGCGTCATCACAACGGACGTCGCTTCACGTGACGCTCCGGAGGAAACAACGTCCCATTGCTCTTAAAACTCATTTCCCTGCTTCTCGTGGTTTCCTTGCCTCTCTCCATGCTTCCCTGGTGGGAGGGACTAGTCGCAGGGAAACGACGCAAGTGAGGGACGCAAGGAATCCATTTAACCGAGCTGAGATGCAGCTATTGTATCACAGTGAACTGCATGTGACAATTTGATTGGTTTCTTCTTTCAAGAAGTGCTGTACACCTACGGCTCCTTGTTGCAGCTCTATTTCTTCAATTGTGTCAAATCTTTGAAACAGGATGAATTCTCCAATATCCTATATTTCTATAAAGAAAGATGACAGCCGATTGTAGTCGAAAATGTCCAATGTTTTGCTGATAAATGGGTGCATCCCTAGACTCAGCATATTTGATATTAGTTCATTTGCAGAATCTAACAAAAGTGTAATATAGTTCACTGCTGTTTGAATAACTAAATCAATCATGGCGTGAAATAACTGTACTATATTCAGCAATAAAAGTGTTATTTCATAGTTTGAGGATTGTGTTTTTATCCATTATAATCGTAGCATCAATATTTGATGCTAGCAGTTATTAAAAGGCGGAGGAAAGAGATACATGAATCTATAGCTCTGTTGTATGTTTAGGTTGGTGTTTTTATTTTGGAAAAAAGGATTATGTGTTGAATGCCAAGCTCAGTGCTTAGTAGCTGGTTTTCAATGATAGATGAGACAGATCTGGTTACACTCTCTTATACCACCTGGACCTGCATGTGGCACTACGGTTTGGCAGTGTACACACATGGAATACACACACAGCCTGGATGTCAAGGATGATCACAATCGGCCTTCATTGGACTTTCAATGAGTTTGCATGTATACTAGTGATCATTCAGATCAATAGATATTCTCCTGCAACATCTCACACTAAAAGCTGACACCAGATCATCAATACAGCATGGCCCATTTATACACACACACTATATCGTGCCACATTTCTAATCCGAGATCAATAAAATGGTGGCAACTGACAGCAGATCGCACTTAAACCGAGTTACCAATGTTCTCCGCTTTAAATCTAAATCCCAACATGTCCCTCTCCTCCTGCAGTGGTGACACAATATGTGAAACAAAGCTTTAGGAATATCAAGGCTTTGGATCAAATG